AATCTGGAGATGTAAAGAGGTTTAGGCTATGACATGCCTGCAATTTAGACCATCATAAGATCTTTCAAAGAAACGCGTTCCATCGCGCCTAATTTGAGTGCCGTCCATATATCATGCAAGCGAGGTAGCCCGCGAATTGCATTGTCTCCTCTCCTTCATATTCGTCTTACAACACTCTAACTTGAGAAATTCTGTCTTAAAGAATATTCTTTGACATTCATTTGTGCTCAATCTACAGAGTTATGTTTTTAGTGCTCCGTTTATAATTGACGACAAGTTCTCCACTTGCAGCTAACAGTTCTTGCATGTTTCTGTTGTTCACTAGCTATTCAATCCATAGTAAAACCGTTCATTTATCACAATTAGTTTCTGTTGTATTTAAGGATTAGTTATACTATTTTGTACTCAGCTATCTATATTTGCATTTCTCACATAAATAAGATTTTTCGTATGAAATCTCATTTCCTTTGTTGTAAACTGTATATACATCTACAGCTTTGACCATTCAAGTATGCATGGACTAAACTAATCCTCGCGCTTCAGCGCTTTTTTAATCAAAATACCAAAACGATATTTATTCCATATTATTTGGAAGATATGATAAAATTGGACTAACTCTCTGCGAGTGCGCTCGCGGAACATCTGTGATTGCTCTGTAAATAGTGCACTGCTATCAATTTGGGCAAAATTGAGAAAAAAAAACATATCTGATTAGTCAAGATTGTCCATGCTCGGCTGTTGTTGAATCTTGGCATTTGCAACACTTCAGCTAGATGGTTTGAGCAGCTGGCCAAGATTTACTGATCTTTATTGGCTTACGTTAGGTTTCGATTTCGTCGGAGCCTGGAAAGCCGAAGTCATAAGTAATCCGTCCTCTCTGACGTCAACAACAAAAATTAGGATATAGTGCGTAAGGAGAACCAGTCAAAACATCACCAAAGCTTCGAGTAACCAGATACTGACCTTAGAGGATAGCCAACAAGGTGTTCGTGCACAGAACACTTATACCAGTACTGTACCTCAGCTCCTTTTATATGTACCCCCATAACCTAACCTTAATTCCACAGAGGGATTGATAAGGCGCTAACTCGGTGGTATCAATACACTCTTCCTTCCGGTTCATTTTTGGGCTTTTGGCGGTGGTCCAAAACGCTTCTAACGTCTTGCGTGCTAGGATTTCAGGTTCATAGACAAAATCTTCACCCCAATTTGTATAATATCGTTATTATGGCGTAGTAAGCGATGCTTTCCTAATTGCACCGTGCTGCTAACTTTATCACTGACTCAATCATTTAGCAGCACGGTGCGGCGCTGCGTACATCAGGCGGGTTTGCAAGATGTACTTAGGGTGCTCGATATCTCCCCCCAATTTGAAGAGGCAATTAGTCCGTAATCGAGTGTACGATCGTGTCTGCTTGATCCAGAGTGCATAGTTTGCCCATCTAGTAGAGAGGCAGATTGTATGGTGTCAGGAGTGATTTATCTTAAAAATGCCTATCACGTGGGGACACATATATCGGGGAAACCGGACACCCACTCTGCATCTGCGTAAAAGAACACTTAGACGGGCTAATCAAATGTAAGTCCTATACATCATTAGGAAAGCATCGCTTACTACGCCGTAATAACGATTTATACAAATTGGAGTAAAGATCTTGTCGTATAAACCTGAAATTCTAGCGCGCAAGACGTTAGAAGCGTTTTGGATCACCGCCAGAAGTCCAAAAATGAACCGGAAGGAAGGTTGTATTGGTGTCACCGAGTTAGCGCCTTATCAATCTCTCTGTGGATTTAAGGTCAGGTCATGAGGGCACATATAAAAGGAGCTGAGGACAGTACTGGTATAAGTGTTCTGTCCACGAACACCTCGTTGCCTATCCTCTAAGGTCAGTATCTGGTTACACGAAGCTTTGGTGATGTTTTGACTGGTTCTCCTTACGAACTGTATTCTAATAGTTGTTGTTGACGTCTGAGAGGACGGATTACTTATAACTTCGGTTCTTCAGGCTCCGACGAAGGCGAAACCGCCGAAACGTTAACATAAGCTAATAAAAATCACTAAATCTTGGCCAACTGCTCAAACAATCTTGCTGAAATATCTGATTAGTGATCAGAAATTTTTACTTACTTAGATACTTAAATGGCCTGTCTTCACTTGTCGTGCAGGCCACAGCACTGTTTCCAT